GTTTTCTTCCACTCGCCTAGAGACGTTCTGTCAGGGTCGGGGAGTCATTCATTCGTACACGCTACCAGCCTCGCCGCAGCAGAACGGGGTAGCCGAGCGTCGCATCGGCCTGGTCATGGAGGTTGCTCCGACCTCTATGTGCCATGCCGGTGCCCCTCAGTTCTTGTGGCCTCAGGCAGTCCTCTATGCCGCGCACCAGCTGAACCTGTGGCCTAGTGATGCATGGCCACGGGTGACGCCAGTCTCCCTCTGGTCAGGTTTACAGGGCGTAGCAGCTGACTTCCGCTTCTAGGGTTGTCTGGCTCACGTTCGCGCCCCTGGCGCGAACAAGTTGTCTCCGCGCACTCGTGCATGCGTCTTTCTTGGCTTCCCTTTGTACGCCTCCGGCTGGGTGTTCTACGACCCGGTCACCTGCGAGTTCTTCGCTTCTCAGGACGTCACGTTTGACGAGTCTGTCTGGTACTACAGGAGTCGCCCCCACCGAGGTACTGAGGTCTTTTCCCCCCTCGCTGTTCCTCACCCTTGAGCCCCCCTCAAGCGCCCCGGTAGCCCCCCCCGCTTCGCATCCTTTCCCGCCAGATGTGTCGCACGTCACTTCGCAGTCGTCCCCCCTGTAGCATCCAGTCCCTGTCGTGTCTGGGGGTGCGGGAGGTGCAGTTGCGGAGGGTGAGGGTGCTGGGGCTGCAGGAGCTCGTGGTGTCGGTTCAGGGGGTGCAGTGGGTGTGGGCATGGAGGTCACTCCCGTGGAGGACACGGCAGCCTCGAGTCGGCAGCCTCGCCCCGCGTCACCCCCCAGCTTCCCAGACGTCCCGCAGTTTCCTCCTCGTTCTCCTCTACGACCGGTTGCTGCGGAGCCTGGGGGTGTTCCTACGGGAGGTACTGGAGGCCCCGGGGGTGTCGCTAGTGGAGGTGCTGAATCTGGGGGTGCGGGAGCTGGAGGTACTGGCACTGTGGCACCTACACCGCACACTGTATGTTCCTGACCTGTAAGCAGCGTCTCCTCCGGTTGGAGAGGGAGGAGCGTGAGCGGTTTGAAAGGGCACAGCAGCAGAAGCTACAGTAGCAGGAGAGAGTAATGGAGGAGTCACAGCAGCAGCACGAGAGGGTAGCGCAAGAGTCCAGGTCGCAGCAGCGGGTGCAGCTGCAGCTGCAATAGGAGAGAGTAGAGAAGGAGTCACGGCCGCACTAGGAGAGGGTAGAGCAGGAGTCCCGCCCGCAGCAGCAGGTGCAGTTATAGACCCAGCAGAAGGGAGTACAGGAGGAGTCACGGCCGCACCAGGAGAGGGTAGAGCAGAAGTCCCGCCCGCTGCAGCAGGTGCAGTTACAGACCCAGCAGGAGAGAGTACAGGAGGAGTCATTGCCGTAGCAGGAGAGGGTAGCGCAGGAGTCCCGGTCGCAGTAGTGGGTGCAGCTGCACTCGCAGCAGTAGAGGGCAGAGGCGGAGCCACAGGAGCAGCAGCAGGGGCCAGTGCCGTCACAGCAGATGCCAGAGGAGGCGGAGCAGCAGCGACTGCGACTACGCGACCTCACCGACCCAGCACCTGCACGCTTTGCTCGTGGTCCCTTACCGTCCCCTCCTGTTCCCCCTGTTGAGTCCCTTTCCTCGTCCTTGTGGACTTGTCTTTCTCCCTCAGTCGTGCTGTGTCCCCAGAGCGTCGTCGGTCCCGTTACCGCGTAGACGGTCCGTTCCACCTTGTTCTTCGCTCTCGTGTTCCACCTCCTCATGTCCTTCCACAGCCCCCTGAGTCGACCCTCACTGTGCTTCAAGATCCGTTGTCCGACTACCTCCATGCCTCCCGTCCTGTTCTCTCCCGTGTTTTGTCTGCGTTGGTCACTCACCCGACTGCACTTTGTGAAGAAATGAGGAATGAGAATGAACTAGGAAAGTGTTGGGTACAAATATGAAACCCTAGAAACCTGTACCCCTTAGTGTCTACCCCACTATAGCCTACAAAGGCTAAGTCATATATATCTGACACACCCCCATAGGCAAAGTGGGGAAGAACTAGGGGTCACAAGACCAGTCAAGCAAAGCAAATCAAGCTCAGGGTGGATCACAACGTCACCACACATTCCGAGCACAAGATCAGAGGCCACAAGGCCAGTTCACATGCAGGATTATAAATCAAGGTGAACGGGCAAGACAGTGATCACAAATTAGAAAGGGTAAACATGCAGGTGCAAGTATATATAGATCACAGTACAAAGCAAAGTCAAGAGGTAAGCAAGTGAGGCCAGGTAGGCACAAGACCTAGCATAGTACAGAAACGCTGATGATCACAAGGCTGAAGTGCCTTGGTGAAGATATCAGCAGTGTTGGCCCGAGAGGCCACGTAAGCAAGGTGCAGCTGACCACGCTGCTGCAGCTCACGTGCAAGGAAGTAGCGAAGAGCAATGTGCTTCGTTCTGTGCTCCACTCTGTGCTCTGGACACAAGGCCAGCATAGCCTTGTTGTCTACGTACAGAACTGGAGGAGAACGAGGTGGCTCTCCCAGGTCGGTCAGCAGGAAGGTAAGCCAGCGTAACTCCTGTGCAGCCATGGCCCCTGCGTAGATCTCAGCCTCACAGCTGGAGCTGAGAACAGAAGACGAGCGGGTAGACCGCCACGAGACAGAGCCACAACCAAGGCTGAAGGTGTAACCCTGTGACGTTCGCTGCGTAGCCAAGTCGTCAACCCAAGACGCGTCTGCGTGACCAGTGAGGACCACTGGAATCCGCCATCCAAGCACGAGCCCCATTCCCGACGTACTGCACAAGTAGCGCAACACCCTCTTCACTGCAGCCATGTGCTCTGGTCGGTGTCTCCCAGGAGCAACATAGCGTGCCGGGATGCTAAGAGGGTATGCCAGGTGAGGTCGAGTGCAGGTCATCAGGTACATGAGGCAGCCAACAAGCTCTGGGTACGGGCCACTCGGCTCTACGGACTCATCCGAAGGCAGAGCTGAGAGCGAGTGGCGAGTAGACAGAGGAGTGGCCTGAGGCGAGGAGTACGTGAAGTTGACGCGCTGAAGGACCTGCTGCACCATGTGTGACTGAGTCAAGGTAATGGTGCACCGTGCTCTGTCTCGGGTGATCTGCAAGCCAAGATAGCTGCGCAGTTCACCCACGTCTGTGCACGTGTATCGCTTGTGCAGCTCGGACTTCACGTGGGCGAGTCCAGCAGTGTCAGCAGTAGCAAATACCAAGTCATCGACGTACACGAGGATGTAGAACAGCGGCAGAGAGGTGTCGGTGCGTAAAAAACAGCGACGGGTCAGCAGTGGAAGGAGCAAACCCAAGGGCCGCAAGCGTAGTCCTCAGTGTGTCGTGCCACTCACGGGGCGCCTGGCGGAGACTGTAGACTGGCCGCCGGAGGCTCCACTGGGTACCAGGAGGAAACGACACAGTGAAGCCAGGTGGGCGGCGCAGCCAGATCTCCTCGTGCAGGCTGCCCTGTAGGAAAGCAGTGCTGAAGTCAAGAGAGTGAAGCTCGTAATCGCACTGAGCGGCTATGTGCAGCAGCACCCGAAGAGTGGTCATCTTCGGGGTGGGAGAGAAGGTCTGAAAGTAGTCAACTCCCTGCCGTTGACTGAAGCCTCGAGCCACGTAACGCGCCTTGAAGACAGGCGGAGAACCCGGCGGCCGCTTCACACTGAAAATCCACATGCCACTGACGATGTTCGCCCCAGGTGGGGGAACCTCGTCGACGTAGGTGTCTGTGGACTTCCAAGATGCCATCTCTGCGTCCATGGTTGACTGCCACTGAGAGGAGTCTATCACCTCTGCGTACGAGCGCGGAGTCAGGATGTCTGGTGCATCCGGGTCTCCCTCAGGGGCAAGCAGCATGGACACGAGATGAGGCAAAACACTGGAACTCCTCCTGCCTGTCCTCAAGGACGTCCGTGCCAAGAGCATACTCACCCCCGACGGACGGAGGACAGACAGACTCAGACTCAGCAACAAGACGAGCGGCGTAGTCTAGACGACAGTGAGCAGCGAAATCGACAAGCTCAGCAACTAAGGCAGACGTTGCTGTGGACTCAAAGGAAGGTTCAGTGACAATAGTAGCCAGGAGACGCGTGACAGTAGGACTGGCAGCACGAAGGGAGTCAGACTCCGGGTCAGCAAGAGCAGGAAGAGAGGACGCAGGAGGAGACGGCAGAGGGACACGGTGCGGAGTTGTGGAAGGACGTAGTGTCATTTGGTGCATGCCTGAGACAGCAGGAGGACGCTGACGCGGAACACGACGACCAGTGCGAGCGGCACGAACAGGTGACGCAGGACGAGACTCAGGCTCACGAAGCTCAGCAAGACCCCCAGTAGGACCAGTGACCATAACTGTGACTGGACAGGCGGTGGACACTCTAAGGAAGGAGAAGGACCAGTAGAAGGTGGGAGACCAAGAACTTGGTCAAGGAGCGGAACAAAGTACGGCCGCGGCCACGCAGAGCCTCCAGAACCAGCAGGGACAGCACCAGCACCCCCAGCGTAAGTGCCAACTCCAGCAGCACTACCAGCTCCACCAGGACCTCCAGCAGCGCCAGCAGCACCAACTCAAGCACCCCCAGAAGCACTGGCTCCAGCAGCACCTCCAACACCAGCATCTCCAGACGCTCCAGCTCCAGCAGGACCACCAGCTCTAGACCCTCCTGCAGCACCAGCACCAGCGGCACCACTAGGCCAAGCAGCTCGAGTACCTCCAGTACGAGCACCTCCGGGACTAGTGGCTCCATAACCCCCAGCAGCTCCAGCAGCACGGCTCCAGCGGCGAGCAAATCACTCGCGCAGCTGCCGCGGAGAGAGTGGCTCCCGCCGGGACAAAACACCTAAAGAACCTCCAGGCACAGCACCTCCAGATGACATCCGCGCATGCTCAGCACCCTCAGTCGCAACACCCCTAGGCTCAGCACCTTCAGTCGCAGCACCTCTAGGCTCAGCACCCCTAGACTCAGCACCCCTAGGCTCAGCACCCCCAGACTCATCACGAGAGTCAACAGCTACCTCGACGAGCTTGACTGCGTCTACCTGGGACACACCTGAGAGGGCAGGACCCTGAGGGGGGAGGGGGTCTACCGGGGGAGGACCTGGCGCGAGGAAGAGCGGCGGGGGGGGGAGGGGGGCAGCGTGGTAGGGGAGGAGACGGTAGTAAGGAACCGACTCGTCAAATGTGACGTCCTGAGAGGACAGAACACGGCGCAAGGTGGGGTGGTAAAACTGCCAACCAGGCGCGTCAAGGGGGGAAGCCAAGGAAGACGCAGAGAACAGCGCGGGAGGACAGCTTGTCCGCAGACAAGTCGCAGACGAAAGCTCGAGATCCCCAGACACGGAACGCAGATGCATCGCCAACCTTCCCCGTCCACCGCAGAGTAGGTGTGGTCTCCGGCACAGAGACCCGGGGCTGGAGGTTGATCTGATGCGCAGCGTACTGAGCCACGAATGGCCACAAAAAATGGGGAGCAGCCTCATGGATCATGGACGTACGAGCGACGTCCATGACCATGCCAATGCGGCGCTCAGCAATCCCATTTTGCAATGGAGAGGCCGGAAGTGTGAACATCTTGCGGATGCCCTCCGCACGACAGAAGGCTCCCAGAAGGTCAGCGGAGAACTCACCACCTCTGTCCGAGTGCAGACGCAGGACAGGAAGGTCCGAGCCAAAACTCTCTCAAAGCTGACGACGAGCAGCGCGGATCCAGTCGATCAACACCTCAGTGACCTCACCGTTGCGACGCAAGGGGAAGACTGTGGTGTAACGCGAATAGTCGTCAACGACCAGCACAAAGTAGTGCTCGTGACCCTGGCCACGGACGCGGGATGGGCCCCTTACGTCCATGTGCAGAGTCTGCAGGGGAGCCTCCGTCGGAGGGAACTCGGAGGAGTGAGGTGCGGCGCGCTGCCTGTTACGAAACGAACTTAGTCTAGGAACCGAGGTTTACTAAGGGCCTAGGCTTAATAGCCTATGCCAAGCGGGTGTCGAGGTGGTTGTACCAAGGAGGATTGAGAATGGAATGTTTCACTATAGGTTTGCAAGAACATATAGCAAAAGAACATAGAGAAGGTGCACCACCAATGTAAGAAGGCATAAATACACTAAAGCTAATGCTACAGGCAGTTATAAACATACATATAAAATATGTATCGCGACACTGCCGCCCCTCGACGCAGGGAACGCAGGTAGGGGCAAGCCCCGGAGGGAGGGGAGGGAGTGACCGGGGCAGACCAGTGACAAGGACACGAGAGGCCATGCCTCGGAGACGAGGCTGGGAGGGGTGACCAAGGCGGTGGTGCCATAGGAGTGTCTGGTGTGACAGGAGGCGACACGAGCAGGGGGCAGACTCAGGACCAGACCGGGATGCTGCAGCAAACACCTTACCCGACGCAGCTACCTGAGCAGACGCAGCAACCAGGGGAGGCACAGTAGACAGGGTGTACAGGCTCGACCCAGACTGACGGGCAAACGTGGCCAGGTGCCGGCCTGTCCGAGTACACGAACAGTGGGTCACCCTCTGACCGCCTGGAATGAACTGGTCAACCCATGCATCCTGAAGGTCAGCTCCACTCACCAAGTTCGTGGAGAACGAGGGGAGGTGGAGGCCCAACAGGGAGCCAAAGGGGACCGCCAGACACGGCAGGAACGTGGAGGAGTGAGCAAGGACCGGACCCCCAAAGGGGTCAGCCAGGGAGACTGCCACTGGCCGACTGAGCGGCGTGAGAGTGGTGTAGTCGCGAAAGAAGGAGCGGGAAGCACCCGAGTCAAGGGTGAAGGTGTGCAAGACCTGAGCCGACTCGGTACCTGAGAGAGCAGACTCACCAGCACGTGGAGCAGCAGACGCACGAGCATCTGGAGCAGCAGACTCACTAGCGCCTAGAGCAGCAGCCCCAATGCCCGGGTCGGGCGGAACACACAGGTAACAGTCACCCTCAGCACTAATAGACACAACATACATAGCAGCAAGGATAGCATCAAAGTCAAGATCAAAGATAGCAACACCCGACTTGAGCAGATCACCCCAGCGAGGGATCTCAGAGGAGTCAGGGAACTGGGCACGCCAGGCGTCACTCAGGCGGCCGAAGCAGCGCTGGGTGGCGTGCGGGCCGCCGCACGTCTCACCAGTGCGGAAGCCGGTACGCAGGACGTAGGCACAGGGACCAGCTCCCGCAGACCGCTGGCGCCCAGCGTACCACTCACGAAGCTGTTGGGGCAAGGGGATCTCACGAGAACGCTGCTGCTGCTGGCGGTTGCCACCACCAAAGCCTCCACGCTGCACAGCGCCACCACGACCAGTCCCACCGCCGCCACCGCCGCCGCCACCGCCGCCGCCGCCTCCACCTCCACTGCCGCCACCGAAGCCCCCACCGCCGCCAACACTCCCACCTCCACCCCCACCCGCTCCACCGCCTCCACCGCCACCGCGGCCGCCCCCGCCGTCTCCTCCAGCACCCTTGCCCCCCTTGCCCTTGCTGTTGCGGCGCCTCCCACTAGGAGCGGACGCAGCGCCGACCGACTCGGTGCCAACGAGGTCGACATCAGCAGTAGAGGCAACAGAGGGCAACAGGGGGACGGGGGAGCACCCTTCAAAGAAAGGGGTACAGGGGTCACCACGAGAGGCTCCTACAGCGGTAATACTTTTCTCCGCTGCAAGGAGGCGCTCCTTGAGGAGGTCAACGGTGAGTGTGGTGGGGCAAAGAGAGAGGAAGTGGTCCCTGACGGAGTGAAGGGTGTCAGGGAGCCGAGTGACTAGGTAGTAGAGGGTGATGTACATGGGTGGGGGGTTCTTGGCGCAAAACTCAGCAGGAAGCGCAGCGCGGTAGCGGGTGTCACTAGTGCGGAGGTGCGTAATGAGGTCAGCGACTGAGGCAAAAGCGGCGAGGTCAGGGAACAGGTACGGCAGCATGAGGCGGCTAAGGGCAGCAGTGTCAGGGGGGGAGTAGCATGCAACTACAGCGTCGTACAGGGTCTTAGCACTCTTGTACTGACTAAAGTGTGCGCGCTCAGAGGACGGCAGGTGACTACGCACAGCAAGGCGGGCAGCAGCATCGCGTGTGGTCCACTGTGAGCGAACAGTACTGTCAGCATCGGCAGCAGGGGCAGCAGAGGCGCCAGACGTGAGATCGAACAGTGAGATACCGTCCTTGCTATCGCACTACAGGAAAAGCTGCAGATCATCGACCCAGACCTCAAAATCGACCGCTCGACCCTCAGTATCGAAGGAAAGCACATTGGGACTGGCCATGACAGCAGCAGCAGCAGCAGGCTAGCAGCAGCAGCGGCAGTGCGACTCGGCTAAACGGCGCAGCTCGGTAGGGCGGTTCGGCAGGGCGGTTCGGCAGGGCGGCGACGCGCATACGAGGGGCAGGTTGGTAGGGTGGCCGCCACTGGAGGGGAAGGGCCATGGTGCGCCGGCAGGGTCGGGGCCGCAACTGGGCGGCAGAGCAGGGCCGCGGCTCGGCTGCAGGGCAGGGCCGGGGCAGCAGTGACTGCAGCAGCGGTGGCGACTCACCACACCGGCGGCGGTAGGCTTGGTGGCGGCGGCAGGGACAGCAGGTGCTGCAGGGCTCCCGGCGGCTGCTGCAGTTGGAGGCCGCGGCCGGCGAGAGGGGCAGGGCGGGGCCGCAACGGTGTTACCAGGGTGGATCACAAAGTTACCACACATTCCGAGCACAAGTTCAAGGCCACAAGGCGAGTTCACATGCAGGAGTACATATGTATATAGAAAGCTAGACAAGCAAGAGCAGGTGTATATATATGTAACAATACAAGCAAGGTCAAGAGGTGAGCAAGTGAGCCAAGACAGGCACAAGACCCAGCTGAATACAGAAACGCTGATGATCACAAGGCGCAAGTGCCTTGGTGAAGATATCAGCAGTGTTGGCCTCAGAGGCCACGTACGCAAGACGCAGCTGACCACGCTGCTGCAGCTCACGAGCAAGGAAGTAGCAAAGAGCAATGTGCTTCGTTCTGTGCTCCAGTCTCAGCTCTCGACACAAGGCCAGCATGGCCTTGTTGTCTACGTACAGCACTGGAGGAGAACGAGGCGGCTCTCCAAGGTCAGTCAGCAGGTAGGTGAGCCAGCGAAGCTCCTGTGCAGCCATGGCCCCGGCAGAGATCTCAGCCTCACAACTGGAGCCGAGAACAGAAGACGAGCGGGTAGCCCTCCACGAAACAGAGCCGGAACCAAGGCTGAAGGTGTAACCCTGTGACGACCGCTGCGTAGCCTGGTCGTCCACCCAAGAAGTGTCTGCGTGCCCAGTGAGGACCACTGTACTCCGCCCTCCAAGCATAAGCCCCATGCCCGACGTACTGCACAAGTAGCGCAACACCCTCTTCGCTGCAGCCATGTGCTCCGGGTGGATCACAAAGTTACCACACATTCCGAGCACAAGTTCAAGGCCACAAGGCCAGTTCACATGCAGGAGTACATATATATATAGAAAGCTAGACAAGCAAAAGCAGGTGTATATATATGTAACAATACAAGCAAGGTCAAGAGGTGAGCAAGTGAGGCAAGACAGGCACAAGACCCAGCTGAGTACAGAAACGCTGATGATCACAAGGCGCAAGTGCCTTGGTGAAGATATCAGCAGTGTTGGCCTCAGAGGCCACGTACGCAAGACGCAGCTGACCACGCTGCTGCAGCTCACGAGCAAGGAAGTAGCAAAGAGCAATGTGCTTCGTTCTGTGCTCCAGTCTCAGCTCTCGACACAAGGCCAGCATGGCCTTGTTGTCTACGTACAGCACTGGAGGAGAACGAGGCGGCTCTCCAAGGTCAGTCAGCAGGTAGGTGAGCCAGCGAAGCTCCTGTGCAGCCATGGCCCCGGCAGAGATCTCAGCCTCACAACTGGAGCCGAGAACAGAAGACGAGCGGGTAGCCCGCCACGAAACAGAGCCGGAACCAAGGCTGAAGGTGTAACCCTGTGACGACCGCTGCGTAGCCTGGTCGTCCACCCAAGAAGTGTCTGCGTGCCCAGTGAGGACCACTGTACTCCGCCCTCCAAGCACAAGCCCCATGCCCGACGTACTGCACAAGTAGCGCAACACCCTCTTCGCTGCAGCCATGTGCTCCGGTCTGTGTCTCCCAGGAGCAACATAGCGTGCGAGAATGCTAAGAGGGTATGCAAGGTCAGGTCGAGTGCAGGTCATCAGGTACATGAGGCAGCCAACTAGCTCTGGGTACAGGCCACTCGTCTCTACGGACTCATCCGAAGGCAGAGCTGAGAGCGAGTGAAGGGTAGGCAGAGGAGTGGCCTGAGGCGAGGAGTACGTGAAGCCGAAGCGCTGAAGGACCTGCTGCACCATGTGTGACTGAGTCAGGGTAATGGTGCGCTGTGCTCTGTGCTCTACAAGCCAAGGTAGCTGTGCAGTTCACCCAGGTCTGTGCACGTGTGTCTCTTCTGCAGCTCGGACTTCACGTGGGCGAGTCCAGCAGTGTCAGTTGTGGCAAAGACCAAGTCATCGACGTACACGAGGATGTAGAACGGCGGCAAAGAAGTGTCGGTGCGCAGAAACAGCGACGGGTCAGTAGTAGAGGGAGCAAACCCAAGAGCCGCAAGTGTAGTCCTCAGTGTGTTGTGCCACTCACGCGGTGCCTGGCGGAGACCGTAGACTGGCCGCCGTAGGCTCCACTGGGTGCCAGGAGGAAAAGTCCTAGTGAAGCCAAGTGGGCGGCGCAGCCAGATCTCCTCGTGCAGGCTACCCTGCAAGAAAGCAGTGCTGAAGTGAAGAGAGTGAAGCTCGTAGTCGCGCTGAGCGGCTATGAGCAGCAGCACCCGAAGAGTGGTCATCTTCGGGGTGGGAGAGAAGGTCTGAAAGTAGTCAACTCCCTGCCGCTGACTGAAGCCACGAGCCACGTACCGCGCCTTGAAGATAGGTGGAGAACCTGGCGGCCGCTTCACCCTGAAGATCCACATGCCACTGACGATGTTCGCCCCAGGTGGGGGAACCGCGTCAACGTAGGTGCCTGTGGACTTCCAAGAAGCCATCTCTGCGTCCATAGCTGCCTGCCTCTGAGAGGAGTAGGGACCCTCTATCGCCTCCGCGTAATTCGCGGAGTCGGGATGTTAAGTGCATCCGGGTCTCCCTCAGGGGTAAGCAGTACGGACACGAGATGAGGTGAAGCGGCAGCCAGACACTGGAACTCCTCCTGCCTGTCCTCAAGGACGTCCGTGCCAAGGGCACACTCACCCCCGACGGACGGAGGACGGACAGACTCAGACTCAGCGACAAGACTAGCAGCGTTGTCTAGACGACAGCGAGCAGCAAAGTCGACGAGCTCAACAACTAGGGCAGACGCAGCAGTGGACTCAAAAGAAGGGTCGGTGATGACAGTAGCAAGGAGACGCGTGACAGTAGGACTGGCAGCACGAAGAGAGTCCAACTCCAAGTCGGAAGAGCAGGAAGAGAAGACTCAGGAGGAGAAGGCAAAGGGGCACGCAGAGGAGCAGTGGACGGACGCAGAGACATCCGGTGCGTGCCAGGGACAGGAGGAGGACGCTGACGCGAACCGCGACCACTAGTGCGAGCAGCACGGACAGGCGACGTAGGGCGAGACGCAGGCTCACGACGCTGAGCAAGACCTTCAGTAGGACCAGTGTAGGGAGACGAAGCAGGCAGTGGGGAGGCCGGCTGTAACTATAACTGCGACGGGACAGGCTGTGGACACTGTAAGGGAGGAGGAGGACCAGTAGAAGACGGGAGACCAAGAACGAAGTACGGCCGAGGCCGCGCGGTGACTCCTGACACAGCAGGGACAGCACCAGTACCCCCAGTGGCAGCACCAGCACGAGCAGCAGCTCCAACTCCAGTACGTCCAACAGCACCAGTAGTACCCCCAGCAGGACCGCCTCTAGGACCGACAGCAGTAGCCTCCGCGCCAACACCCGCAGCAGCTCCAGCTCTAGAAGTACCCACAGGCCCAGCAGCTTCAATACTTCGAGTACGAGCACCTCCGAGACCTATGACACCAGCTCCCTCAGCAGCAACAGAACCTCCAGTACCCGCAGCACCTCCAGCTCCAGCAGCTCGCCTCTAGCGCCGGGCAAACCACTCACGCAGCTCCTGTGGAGAGAGTGGCTCCCGGCGAGACGAAGCACCTAAAGAACCGCCAGGCACAGCACCAGCAGGCCCAGCTCCCTCAGGCTCCGCACCCCCAGGCTCAGCACCTCTAGGCGTAGCACCCCCAGGCTCAGCACCCCCAGGCTCACCACCCCCACGCGTAGCACCCCGAGGCTCAGCACCCCCAGACTCAGCACCCCCAGGCTCAGCACCCCCAGTCGTAGTACCCTCAGGCTCAGCACCCCCAGGCGTAGCACCCACACACTCAGCACCCCCAGAGTCAGCACCCCCAGGCTCAGCACCCTGAGCAGCACGAGAGTCACCTGCGACCTCGACAGGCTCAACAGCGTCTACCTGGGACACACCTGAAGGGGCAGGACCCTGAGGGGGGAGGGGGTCTACCGGGGGGGGGACCTGGTACAAGGAAGAGCGGTGGCGGGGGGAGGGACGGAGTGTGGTAGGGGAAGAGACGGTAGTAGGGGACCGACTCGTCGAACGTGACGTCTTGGGAGGACAAAACACGGCGAGAGGTGGGGTGGTAGAACTGCCACCCTGGCGCGTCAGGGGGGAAACCCAGGAAGACGCAAGGAGCAGCACGAGGGGACAGCTTGTCCGCAGACAAGTCGCGGACAAACGCCCGAGATCCCCAGACACGGAACGCAGACGCATCGCCAACCTTCCCGGTCCACAGCAAAGCTGGGGAGGTCTCCGGCATGGAGACCCTGGGGTGAAGGTTGATCTGATGCGCCGCGTACCGAACCGCAAACGGCCACAGAAAATGGGGGGCAGCCGCATGCATCATGGACGTACGGGCAACGTCCATGACCATGCCAATGCGGCGCT